GGCCGGGGAGGGCCGGGGATGGTTGTGACAGGGCCGGGGATGGTTGTGGCAGGGCCGGGGATGGTTGTGGCAGGGCCGGGGATGGTTGTGGCAGGGCCGGGGATGGTTGTGGCAGGGCCGGGGATGGTTGTGGCAGGGCCGGGGATGGTTGTGGCAGGGCCGGGGATGGTTGTGGCAGGGCCGGGGATGGTTGTGGCAGGGCCGGGGATGGTTGTGGCAGGGCCGGGGATGGTTGTGGCAGGGCCGGGGATGGTTGTGGCAGGGCCGGGGATGGTTGTGGCAGGGCCGGGGATGGTTGTGGCAGGGCCGGGGATGGTTGTGGCAGGGCCGGGGATGGTTGTGGCAGGGCCGGGGATGGTTGTGGCAGGGCCGGGGATGGTTGTGGCAGGGCCGGGGATGGTTGTGGCAGGGCCGGGGATGGTTGTGACAGGGCCGGGGATGGTTGTGGCAGGGCCGCCTCCGCCTCTCTGCATTAACCGGCTAATAATACCACTTTGTAGTGTGGATTATAGCAAGTATATCCATAATTAATATTATATGCACTTATGCTAATGAAAATATAAAGCAGGTATATGATGGGTCTGTTAGTTCTACATAACCTAGTTCAAGTGTCTTACATTCATACAAGTCTTACAGTCCTACAGGGTCCACTAATTACAATTGCCAAGTGTACAACTACACTTAATACCTGTGACCAAGGGTAGAGGATGCGTGAGGCCAGCGTGACCAAGGGTAGAGGATGAGTGAGGCCAGCGTGACCAAGGGTAGAGGATGCGTGAGGCCAGCGTGACCAAGGGTAGAGGATGAGTGAGGCCAGCGTGACCAAGGGTAGAGGATGAGTGAGGCCAGCGTGACCAAGGGTAGAGGATGAGTGAGGCCAGCGTGACCAAGGGTAGAGGATGAGTGAGGCCAGCGTGACCAAGGGTAGAGGATGAGTGAGGCCAGCGTGACCAAGGGTAGAGGATGAGTGAGGCCAGCGTGACCAAGGGTAGAGGATGAGTGAGGCCAGCGTGACCAAGGGTAGAGGATGAGTGAGGCCAGCGTGACCAAGGGTAGAGGATGAGTGAGGCCAGCGTGACCAAGGGTAGAGGATGCGTGAGGCCAGCGTGACCAAGGGTAGAGGATGAGTGAGGCCAGCGTGACCAAGGGTAGAGGATGCGTGAGGCCAGCGTGACCAAGGGTAGAGGATGCGTGAGGCCAGCGTGACCAAGGGTAGAGGATGAGTGAGGCCAGCGTGACCAAGGGTAGAGGATGCGTGAGGCCAGCGTGACCAAGGGTAGAGGATGAGTGAGGCCAGCGTGACCAAGGGTAGAGGATGCGTGAGGCCAGCGTGACCAAGGGTAGAGGATGAGTGAGGCCAGCGTGACCAAGGGTAGAGATGAGTGAGTGACCAAGGGTAGGCCAGCGTGACCAAGGGTAGAGGATGAGTGAGGCCAGCGTGACCAAGGGTAGAGGATGAGTGAGGCCAGCGTGACCAAGGGTAGAGGATGAGTGAGGCCAGCGTGACCAAGGGTAGAGGATGAGTGAGGCCAGCGTGACCAAGGGTAGAGGATGAGTGAGGCCAGCGTGACTAAGGGTAGAGGATGAGTGAGGCCAGCGTGACCAAGGGTAGAGGATGAGTGAGGCCAGCGTGACCAAGGGTAGAGGATGAGTGAGGCCAGCGTGACCAAGGGTAGAGGATGAGTGAGGCCAGCGTGACCAAGGGTAGAGGATGAGTGAGGCCAGCGTGACCAAGGGTAGAGGATGAGTGAGGCCAGCCGACAGGTAACCTGCCAGGTGTTGGTCAGTTTGGCCCGCGACTCACCATCGGGATCACTCTAGCCCGTGCTACATGAACATTTCCTTCCAAGTAGCTAAATTTAAAACTAGAACAACAGCTCATCATGGGTCTAACTCAGACGCTTGAGAGATACCACATATCTTCAACATTTATCAGCAACACTCGACGAGTCCAGTTCCTACCCTCACATGACGCTTCAGCTTCGACATAGAGCAGACAGGTAGGTTCCGGCCGCATAGAGCTTCCAGGCTCTCGTCCCACATTCGAGCTCTTCGACTCCGCCTGCATTGAGAGCGCTTCACTCTACACACTCCCCCCACACACGAGCTCTCTACCCCCGCCGGCCTCACTCAGCTCTCTGCCCTCCTCGAGGCCTCGTCTCAACTACTGCAACACTTCAATACATTGCCAACAAACCGACTGCTGTAACGAAGGCTATACTAAGTAAATATAAGACACCACTATAGTCTATATGTGTTATCAGCAACACATAAACACGTCACAGGTTGACACCACACTTCAGCCTCGCTAAGAGTCTAACAACACATTTCCTGCTTCATGATTAATTGTTTGTTGGTGGCGTGTAGTTCAGTGCTGAACACGTGTGTAGGGAAGGTGGTTACAGTGGTGCAGGGCAGGTGGTGAACACGTGTGTAGGGAAGGTGGTTACAGTGGTGAAGGCCAGGTGGTGAACACGTGTGTAGGGAAGGTGGTTACAGTGGTGAAGGCCAGGTGGTGAACACGTGTGTAGGGAAGGTGGTTACAGTGGTGCAGGGCAGGTGGTGAACACGTGTGTAGGGAAGGTGGTTACAGTGGTGCAGGGCAGGTGGTGAACACGTGTGTAGGGAAGGTGGTTACAGTGGTGCAGGGCAGGTGGTGAACACGTGTGTAGGGAAGGTGGTTACAGTGGTGCAGGGCAGGTGGTGAACACGTGTGTAGGGAAGGTGGTTACAGTGGTGAAGGGCAGGTGGTGAACACGTGTGTAGGGAAGGTGGTTACAGTGGTGCAGGGCAGGTGGTGAACACGTGTGTAGGGAAGGTGGTTACAGTGGTGCAGGGCAGGTGGTGAACACACTGGGGAATTATTATTTAGTCAATTACACACCTGACTAAAATGCCTATACACCATTTTCTCGGTATACAAGTTTAACAGGTATCCGTCAGTCTCAGGAGACTATGGAGTTGTGCTCTGGTTGTCAGCCTGGAGTGTGTAGGTTGATATACAGAAGAAGCTGTCACCCAAGCAGCAGGCCCCCCCCCCCACCACCCTTCTATACGGCGCCGAAATTCTCCAATATAAAGGCAGACGCTATTACGATTGGTTCCAGCGCCGTGGCAGGACCTGTCTGCACGAGGTTGAGGGCAACAACGACCTACTCGAGGGGCAAGTATATAGTATATATATATATATATATATATATATATATATATATATATATATATATATATATATATATATATATATATATATATATATATATATATATATATATATATATATATATATATAATATATATATATATATATATATATATATATATATATATATATATATATATATATATATATATATATATATATATATATATATATATATATATATATATATATATATATATATATATATATATATATATATATATATATATATATATATATATATATATATATATATATAAGTATAAAGTATATATATAGACATGGTGACCTCTCTCGGCACATCACCTGGCGCCAGGTGAGTATGACGGGTTCACCATAGACCGTGCTGCTTGGAACTTTTTGTTCCGAGTGGCAGAATAAAAAGCAACAACAACAACAATATACATGGCCACGGTTGAGTCAGTGTTGTGCTCAGGTGTGTGCTCAGGTGTGTGCTCAGGTGTGTGCTCAGGTGTGTGAGAGGTTCACATCCTGACATTTATATTGGATCTCTTACATTAGGGATCTTTAAGGAAGCAAGTCAATATGTGAGCCACTTACAGGAAGTGGTCCGTGTGGTGACCGTCTTGCGTCACAATGGTCCGTGTGGTGACTGTCTTGCGTCACAATGGTCTGTGTGGTGACCGTCTTGCGTCACAATGGTCCGTGTGGTGACCGTCTTGCGTCACAATGGTCCGTGAGGTGACCGTCTTGCGTCACAATGGTAACGACACCACATCTTGTACACACCTGACACAACACATCATGCACACACCTGACACAACACATCATGCACACACCTGACACAACACATCATGCACACACCTGACACAACACATCATGCACACACCTGACACAACACATCATGCACACACCTGACACAACACATCATGTACACACCTGACACACCACACATCGTCTAGGCCCACCACTACTAAGATTAACCACCTATCGCGTCGACCACCCACCACCACCACCACACCCGCCTCCCCTCCCACAAGCACACCCTCCCACCCCACCCGTCCCGCCCACCCACCACCACCACACCCGCCTCCCCTCCCACAAGCACACCCTCCCACCCCACCCGTCCCGCCCACCCACCACCACCACACCCGCCTCCCCTCCCACAAGCACACCCTCCCACCCCACCCGTCCCGCCCACCCACCATCCATCCCACTGGTCATGTCTTGAGCGCGTCGTCACAGTAAGGTGAGATAAAAGGCGTGTGGGTGTGGGCGGGAGTGGGCGGGCGCTGGTGGGTAATAACAGCTCTGCCGGCCATCTTGTCAGCCTAAGTAGTGGTTAGAGGATAGGAGGGCGGGCTGGTGTGGCGAGGCCGCCTCCACACTCCGCAACACGCCAAAACCTCTTTTTGGAAAACCTCTTGATTACGGGGTTGTGTCGCCGGGATGAGTGGGTGGGGGAGGGGTGGGCGGAGGAGGGTGGAGTAGTGAGGGACGGGGAGGGAGAGGGTGGGAGAGGGGTGGTGTGTGGTTAGCCTGTTTGTCTTGGTCTCCGGAGAGGATGACCGCCTCAGAGCGGCCGTCCCATTAAGGTGTTCGCGCCTCCGTCAGTCGGCGGATCTCCACGAGTGGACGGCTTGGCAGGGCGGGGAGTAAACAGCTCCTGGGCGGGAGGGAGAGGTGAGGGAAGCGGGAGGGGAAAAGTGAGGGGAGGCGGCGCGGAGGGAGGTGAGGGAAGAGGGAGGAGGAGCTAAGGAAAGTGGGAGGGGAAGGTGAGGGAAGTGGGAGGAGGAGGTGAGAGAAGCACGATGGAGGCGAGGAGTGAGGGACTGCTGGATTACTTCTTGCTGGCGTTGACATCTCCAGTTTTTATCCTGTTTAGAAACGTCAGGTTCATGTTAATGGTCTTTGTAGACCACAACAGGCGGCGCCAGGTCCCTCCTCCAGGCGGCGCCAGGTCCCTCCTCCAGGCGGCGCCAGGTCCCTCCTCCAGGCGGCGCCAGGTCCCTCCTCCAGGCGGCGCCAGGTCCCTCCTCCAGGCGGCGCCAGGTCCCTCCTCCAGGCGGCGCCAGGTCCCTCCTCCAGGCGGCGCCAGGTCCCTCCTCCAAGCGGCGCCAGGTCCCTCCTGCTGACGGCGCCAGGTCCCTCCTCCAGGCGAAGCCAGGTCCCTCCTCCAGGCGGCGCCAGGTCCCTCCTCCTGACGGCGCCAGGTCCCTCCTCCAGGCGTCGCCAGGTCCCTCCTCCAGGCGGCGCCAGGTCCCTCCTCCAAGCGGCGCCAGGTCCCTCCTCCAGGCAGCGCCAGGTCCCTCCTCCAGGCGTCGCCAGGTCCCTCCTCCTGACGGCGCCAGGTCCCTCCTCCTGACGGCACCAGGTCCCTCCTCCTGACGGCGCCAGGTCCCTCCTCCTGACGGCGCCAGGTCCCTCCTCCAGGCGAAGCCAGGTCCCTCCTCCTGACGGCGCCAGGTCCCTCCTCCTGACGGCGCCAGGTCCCTCCTCCAGGCGGCGCCAGGTCCCTCCTCCAGGCGGCGCCAGGTCCCTCCTCCAGGCGGCGCCAGGTCCCTCCTCCAGGCGGAGCCAGGTCCCTCCTCCAGACGGCGCCAGGTCCCTCCTCCAGGCGGCGCCAGGTCCCTCCTCCAGCCGGCGCCAGGTCCCTCCTCCAGGCGGCGCCAGGTCCCTCCTCCAGGCGGCGCCAGGTCCCTCCTCCTGACGGCGCCAGGTCCCTCCTCCAGGCGGCGCCAGGTCCCTTCTCCTGATGGCGCCAGGTCCCTCCTCCTGATGGCGCCAGGTCCCTCCTCCTGACGGCGCCAGGTCCCTCCTCCAGGCGGCGCCAGGTCCCTCCTCCAGGCGGCGCCAGGTCCCTCCTCCAGGCGGCGCCAGGTCCCTCCTCCAGGCGGCGCCAGGTCCCCCTCCTGATGGCGCCAGGTCCCTCCTCCTGACGGCACCAGGTCCCTCCTCCTGACGGCGCCAGGTCCCTCCTCCTGACGGCGCCAGGTCCCTCCTCCAGGCGGCGCCAGGTCCCTCCTCCAGGCGGCGCCAGGTCCCTCCTCCTGACGGCGCCAGGTCCCTCCTCCAGGCGGTGCCAGGTCCCTCCTCCAGGCGGCGCCAGGTCCCTCCTCCAGGCGGCGCCAGGTCCCTCCTCCAGGCGGCGCCAGGTCCCTCCTCCTGACGGCGCCAGGTCCCTCCTCCAGGCGGCGCCAGGTCCCTCCTCCAGGCGGCGCCAGGTCCCTCCTCCAGGCGGCGCCAGGTCCCTCCTCCAGTCGGCGCCAGGTCCCCCTCCTGATGGCGCCAGGTCCCTCCTCCGGACGGCGCCAGGTCCCTCCTCCAGGCGGCGCCAGGTCCCTCCTCCAGGCGGCGCCAGGGCCCTCCTCCAGGCGGCGCCAGGTCCCTCCTCCAGGCGGCGCCAGGTCCCTCCTCCAGGCGGCGCCAGGTCCCTCCTCCAGGCGGCGCCAGGTCCCTCCTCCAGGCGGCGCCAGGTCCCTCCTCCTGACGGCGCCAGGTCCCTCCTCCAGGCGGCGCCAGGTCCCTCCTCCAGGCGGCGCCAGGTCCCTCCTCCTGACGGCGCCAGGTCCCTCCTCCAGGCGGCGCCAGGTCCCTCCTCCAGGCGGCGCCAGGTCCCTCCTCCAGGCGGCGCCAGGTCCCTCCTCCAGGCGGCGCCAGGTCCCCCTCCTGATGGCGCCAGGTCCCTCCTCCTGACGGCGCCAGGTCCCTCCTCCAGGCGGCGCCAGGTCCCTCCTCCAGGCGGCGCCAGGTCCCTCCTCCAGGCGGCGCCAGGTCCCTCCTCCTGACGGCGCCAGGTCCTCCTCCAGGCGGCGCCAGGTCCCTCCTCCAGGCGGCGCCAGGTCCCTCCTCCAGGCGGCGCCAGGTCCCTCCTCCAGGCGGCGCCAGGTCCCTCCTCCAGGCGGCGCCAGGTCCCTCCTCCTGACGGCGTCAGGTCCCTCCTCCAGGCGGCGCCAGGTCCCTCCTCCAGGCGGCGCCAGGTCCCTCCTGCTGACGGCGCCAGGTCCCTCCTCCAGGCGGCGCCAGGTCCCTCCTCCAGGCGGCGCCAGGTCCCTCCTCCTGATGGCGCCAGGTCCCTCCTCCTGACGGCGCCAGGTCCCTCCTCCAGGCGGCGCCAGGTCCCTCCTCCAGGCGGCGCCAGGTCCCTCCTCCAGGCGGCGCCAGGTCCCTCCTCCAGGCGGCGCCAGGTCCCTCCTCCAGGCGGCGCCAGGTCCCTCCTCCTGATGGCGCCAGGCCCCTCCTCCTGACGGCGCCAGGTCCCTCCTCCAGGCGGCGCCAGGTCCCTCCTCCAGGCGGCGCCAGGTCCCTCCTCCTGATGGCGCCAGGTCCCTCCTCCTGACGGCGCCAGGTCCCTCCTCCAGGCGGCGCCAGGTCCGTCCTCCAGGCGGCGCCAGGTCCCTCCTCCAGGCGGCGCCAGGTCCCTCCTCCAGGCGGCGCCAGGTCCCTCCTCCTGACGGCGCCAGGTCCCTCCTCCAGGCGGCGCCAGGTCCCTCCTCCAGGCGGCGCCAGGTCCCTCCTCCAGGCGGCGCCAGGTCCCTCCTCCTGATGGCGCCAGGTCCCTCCTCCTGACGGCGCCAGGTCCCTCCTCCAGGCGGCGCCAGGTCCCTCCTCCAGGCGGCGCCAGGTCCCTCCTCCTGATGGCGCCAGGTCCCTCCTCCTGACGGCGCCAGGTCCCTCCTCCAGGCGGCGCCAGGTCCCTCCTCCAGGCGGCGCCAGGTCCCTCCTCCAGGCGGCGCCAGGTCCCTCCTCCAGGCGGCGCCAGGTCCCTCCTCCAGGCGGCGCCAGGTCCCTCCTCCTGATGGCGCCAGGCCCCTCCTCCTGACGGCGCCAGGTCCCTCCTCCAGGCGGCGCCAGGTCCCTCCTCCAGGCGGCGCCAGGTCCCTCCTCCAGGCGGCGCCAGGTCCCTCCTCCAGGCGGCGCCAGGTCCCTCCTCCAGGCGGCGCCAGGTCCCTCCTCCAGGCGGCGCTAGGTCCCTCCTCCAGGCGGCGCCAGGTCCCTCCTCCAGGCGGCGCCAGGTCCCTCCTCCAGGCGGCGCTAGGTCCCTCCTCCAGGCGGCGCCAGGTCCCTCCTCCAGGCGGCGCCAGGTCCTTCCTCCAAGCGGCACCACGTCGACCCCTCCAAGCGACACCACGTCGACCCCTCCAAGCGACACCACGTCGACCCCTACAAGGGCACCACGTCGACCCATCCAAGCGGCACCACGTCGACCCCTCCAAACGGCACCACGTCGACCCCTATAAGCGGCACCACGTCGACTTCTCCAACCGGCGCCACGTCGACCCCTCCAAGCGGCGCCACATCGACCCCTCCAAGCGGCACTACGTCGACCCTCCAAGCTGCACCACGTCGACCCCTCCAAGCGGCACCACGTCGACCCCTCCAAGCGGCACCACGTCGACCCCTCCAATCGGCGCCACGTCGACCCCTCCAAGCGGCGCCAGGTCAACCCCTCCAAGCGGCGCAAGGTCAACCCCTCCAAGCGGGCCAGGTCAACCCCTCCAAGCGCCTCCACGTCGACCCCTCCAAGCGGCGCCAGGTCAACCCCTCCAAGCGGCGCCAGGTCAACCCCTCCAAGCGGCACCACGTCGACCCCTCCAAGCGGCACCACGTCGAGCCCTCCAAGCGGCGCCACGTCGACCCCTCCAAGCGGCGCCAGGTCAACCCCTCCAAGCGGCGCCAGGTAAAACCCTCCAAGCGGCACCACGTCGACCCCTTCAAGCGGCACCACGTCGACCCCTCCAAGCGGCGCCACGTCGACCCCTCCAAGCGGCGCCACGTCGACCCCTCCAAGCGGCGCCAGGTCAACCCCTCCAAGCGGCACCACGTCGACCCCTCCAAGCGGCGCCACGTCGACCCCTCCAAGCGGCGCCAGGTCAACCCCTCCAAGCGGCGCCACGTCGACCCCTCCAAGCGGCGCCAGGTCAACCCCTCCAAGCGGCGCCAGGTCAACCCCTCCAAGCGGCACCACGTCGACACCTCCAAGCGGCGCCACGTCGACCCCTCAAAGCGGCACTACGTCGACCCTCCAAGCTGCGCCACGTCGACCCCTCCAAGCGGCACCACGTCGACCCCTCCAAGCGGCACCACGTCGACCCCTCCAAGCGGCGCCACGTCGACCCCTCCAAGCGACACCACGTCGACCCCTCCAAGCGGCACCACGTCGACCCTTCCAAGCGGCGCCACGTTGACCCTTCCAAGTGGCACCACGTCGACCCCTCCAAGAGGCGCCACGTCGACCCCTCCAAGCGGTACCACGTCGACCGCTCTAAGCGGCACCACGTCGACCGCTCCAAGCGGCGCCACGACGACCGCTCTAAGCGGTACCACGTCGACCGCTCCAAGCGGCGCCACGTCGACCGCTCCAAGCGGCGCCACGACGACCGCTCTAAGCAGCACCACGTCGACCGCTCCAAGCGGCGCCACGTCGACCGCTCCAAGCGGCGCCACGACGACCGCTCTAAGCAGCACCACGTCGACCGCTCCAAGCGGCGCCACGTCGACCGCTCTAAGCGGCACCACGTCGACCGCTCCAAGCGGCACCACGTCGACCGCTCCAAGCGGTACCACGTCGACCGCGCTAAGCGGCGCCACGTCGACCGCTCTAAGCGGCACCACGTCGACCGCTCCAAGCGGCACCACGTCGACCGCTCCAAGCGGCACCACGTCGACCCCTCCAAGCGGCGCCACGTTGACCCCTCCAAGCGGCACCACTTCGACCCCTCCAAGCGGCACCACGTCGACCCCTCCAAGCGGCACCACGTCGACCCCTCCAAGCGGCACCACGTCGACCCCTCCAAGCGGCGCCACGTCGACCCCTCCAAGCGGCACCACGTCGACCCTCCAAGCGGCACCACGTCGACCCCTCCAAGCGGCACCACGTCGACCGCTCCAAGCGGCGCCAATCTCGATGTTGCGGCGCCTGTGCTTCGTTACCGTGGTGCCAACGACTTCGTTACTGCGGCACCAATGACTTCGTTACTGCGGCGCCAATAACCTCGTTACTGCGGCGCCAATAACCTCGTTACTGCGTCGCCAATAACCTCGTTACTGCGCCGCCAAAACCTCGTTACTGCGCCGCCAATAACCTCGTTACTACGCCGCCAATAACCTCGTTACCGCGGCGCCAATAACCTCGTTACTGCGGCGCCAATAACCTCGTTACTGAGGCGCCAATAACCTCGTTACTGCGGCGCCATTAACCTCGTTACTGCGGCGCCAATAGCCTCGTTACTGCGGCGCCATTAACCTCGTTACTGCGGCGCCAATAACCTCGTTACTGCGGCACCAATAATCTCGTTTCTGCGGCGCCAATAACCTCGTTATTGCGGCGCCAATAACCTCGTTACTGCGGCGCCATTAACCTCGTTACTGCGGCGCCAATAATCTCGTTACTGCGGCGCCCGTGAACTCGTTACTGCGCCGCCAATAACCTCGTTACTGCGGCGCCAATAATCTCGTTACTGAGGCGCCCGTGAACTCGTTACTGCGCCGCCAATAACCTCGTTACTGCGTCGCCAATAACCTCGTTACTGCGTCGCCAATAACCTCGTTACTGCGGCACCAATGACTTCGTTACGGCGGCGCCAATAACCTCGTTTCTGCGGCGCCAAAAACCTCGTTACTGCGTCGCCAATAACCTCGTTACTGCGGCGGCAATAACCTCGTTACTGCGGCGCCAATAACCTCGTTACTGCGGCACCAATGACTTCGTTACGGCGGCGCCAATAACCTCGTTTCTGCGGCGCCAAAAACCTCGTTACTGCGTAGCCAATAACCTCGTTACTGCGGCGCCAAAAACCTCGTTACTGCGTAGCCAATAACCTCGTTACTGCGCCGCCAATAACCTCGTTTCTGCGGCGCCATTAACCTCGTTACTGCGACGCCAATAATCTCGTTACTGCGGCGCCAATAACCTCGTTACTGCGGCGCCAAAAACCTCGTTACTGCGCCTCAAATAACCTCGTTACTGCGGTGCCAATAACCTCGTTACCGCGCCGCCTGTAACCTCGTTACTGCGGCGCCAATAACCTCGTTACTGCGGCGCCAATAACCTCGTTACTGCGGCGCCAGTAACCTCGTTACTGCGGCGCCAATAACCTCGTTACTGCGGTGCCAATAACCTCGTTACCGCGCCGCCTGTAACCTCGTTACTGCGGCGCCAATAACCTCGTTACTGCGGCGCCAATAACCTCGTTACTGCGGCGCCAGTAACCTCGTTACTGCGGCGCCAATAACCTCGTTACTGCGCCTCAAATAACCTCGTTACTGCGGTGCCAGTAACCTCGTTACTGAGGCGCCAGTAACCACGTTACTGCGGCGCCAATAACCTCGTTACTGCGGCGCCATTAACCTCGTTACTGCGGCGCCAATAACATCGTTACTGCGCCGCCAATAACCTCGTTATTGCGCCGCTTATAACCTCGTTACTGCGGCACCAATAACCTCGTTACTGCGGCACCAATAACCTCGTTACTGCGCCGCCAATAACCTCGTTACTGCGGCGCAATAACCTCGTTACTTCGCCGCTTATAACCTCGTTACTGTGGCGTCAGTAACCTCGTTACTGCGTCGCCAATAACCTCGTTTCTGCGGCGCAATAACCTCGTTACCGCGCCGCCAATAACCTCGTTACTGCGGCGCAATAACCTCGTTACTTCGCCGCTTATAACCTCGTTACTGTGGCGTCAGTAACCTCGTTACTGCGGCGCCAATAATCTCGTTACTGCGGCGCCAATAACCTCGTTACTGCGGCGCCAAAAACCTCGTTACTGCGCCTCAAATAACCTCGTTACTGCGGTGCCAATAACCTCGTTACCGCGCCGCCAGTAACCTCGTTACTGCGGCGCCAATAACCTCGTTACTGCGGCGCCAATAACCTCGTTACTGCGGCGCCAGTAACCTCGTTACTGCGGCGCCAATAACCTCGTTACTGCGCCTCAAATAACCTCGTTACTGCGGTGCCAGTAACCTCGTTACTGAGGCGCCAGTAACCACGTTACCGCGGCGCCAATAACCTCGTTACTGCGGCGCCATTAACCTCGTTACTGCGGCGCCAATAACATCGTTACTGCGCCGCCAATAACCTCGTTATTGCGCCGCTTATAACCTCGTTACTGCGGCACCAATAACCTCGTTACTGCGGCACCAATAACCTCGTTACTGCGCCGCCAATAACCTCGTTACTGCGGCGCAATAACCTCGTTACTTCGCCGCTTATAACCTCGTTACTGCGGCGTCAGTAACCTCGTTACTGCGTCGCCAATAACCTCGTTACTGCGGCGCAATAACCTCGTTACCGCGCCGCCAATAACCTCGTTACTGCGGCCCAAATAACCTCGTTACTGCGGCGCCAATAACCTCGTTACTGCGGCGCCAATAACCTCGTTACCGCGCCGCCAATAACCTCGTTACTGCGGCCCAAATAACCTCGTTACTGCGCCGCTAATAACCTTGTTACTGATCGCCAATAACCTCGTTATTGCGGCACCAATAACCTCGTTACTACGCCGCCAATAACTCTGGTAATGGTTTGGTTCTGATAAAAAAATTATCAAACACACAGAAATAACATTAATGTTGTAGGTGGGCGCTAACCCCCGACCCGAAGGTGGGCAGGGTCGAAGGTGGGCAGGGTCGAAGGTGGGCAGGGTCGTGGGTGGGCAGGGTCGTGGGTGGGCAGGGTCGTAGGTGGGCAGGGTCGTGGGTGGGCAGGGTCGTGGGTGGGCAGGGTCGTGGGTGGGCAGGGTCGTGGGTGGGCAGGGTCGTAGGTGGGCAGGGTCGAAGGTGGGCAGGGTCGTGGGTGGGCAGGGTCGTGGGTGGGCAGGGTCGAAGGTGGGCAGGGTCGTGGGTGGGCAGGGTCGTGGGTGGGCAGGGTCGTAGGTGGTCTGGGTCGAAGGTGGGCAGGGTCGTGGGTGGGCAGGGTCGGGGTGGGCAGGGTCGTGGGTGGGCAGGGTCGTGGGTGGGTAGGGTCGTAGGTGGGCAGGGTCGTGGGTGGGCAGGGTCGTAGGTGGTCTGGGTCGAAGTTGGGCAGGGTCGTGGGTGGGCAGGGTCGAAGGTGGGCAGGGTCGAAGGTGGGCAGGGTCGAAGGTGGGCAGGGTCGAAGGTGGGCAGGGTCGAAGGTGGGCAGGGTCGAAGGTGGGCAGGGTCGAAGGTGGGCAGGGTCGTGGGTGGGCAGGGTCGTGGGTGGGC